CACCCCATCCCCATTCATCCCCATCCCCAACCCACCCCACCCCATTCCCACCCCATTCCCACCCCATCCCCACCCCATCCCCATCATCCCCACCCCATCCCCACCCCATCCCCACCCCATCCCCATCCCCACCCCATCCCCACCCCATCCCCATCATCCCCACCCCCATCCCCACCCCATCCCCACCCCATCCCCATCATCCCCACACCATCCCCACCCCACCCCACCCCATTCCCGCCCCATCCCCACCCCATCCCCAACCCATCCCCATCCCCCCTCATCCCTAACCCCATTCCCATCCCTGTCCCATCCCCACCCCATCCCCACCCCATCCCCATCATCCCCACCCCATTCCCACCCCACCCCATCCCCACCCCATCCCCATCATCCCCACCCCATCCCCATCATCCCCACCCCATCCGCATCATCCCCATCCCATCCCCACCCCATTCATCCCCATCCCCACCCCATCATCCCCATCCCCATCCCCACCCCATCCCCATCATCCCCACCCCATCCCCATTCATCCCCATCCCCAACCCACCCCATTCCCACCCCATCCCCACCCCATTCCCACCCCATTCCCACCCCAGGTCCCCCACAACATCAACTTCCGGGAGCGGAAGCCGAAGCCCTCCAAGAAGAAGCCGGAGGCTCCTGGGGTTCCCGAGGAGCCGGGGGGCCCCCGCGCGCGCGTCGCTCGCTTCCGTTACTTCGAGGACATCTACGGCTACTCCGGGGTGAGGGAACGGCCACCGGGGGGCTATGGCGGGCAATGGGGGGCAATGGGGGGCAACGGAGATCAATGGATGTCAATGGGCATCAATGGGTGTCAGTGGGTGGCAACGGAGATCAATGGGTGTCAGTGGGGGTCAATGGGCATCAATGGGTGTCAATGGGTGGCAACGGAGATCAATGGGTGTCAATGGGGATCAATGGGGGCAACAGAGATCAATGGGTGTCAATGGGTGGCAACGGAGATCAATGGGTGTCAATGGGGATCAATGGGGGCAACAGAGATCAATGGGTGTCAATGGGTGGCAATGGAGATCAGTGGGTGTCAATGGGGATCAGTGGGCATCAATGGGTGTCAATGGGGTCAATGGAGATCAATGGGTGTCAGTGGGGGCAATGGAGATCAGTGGGTGTCATTGGGGATCAATGGGGGCAACGGAGATCAATGGGTGTCAGTGGGGTCAGTGGAGATCAATGGGTGTCAATGGGGTCAGTGGAGATCAATGGGTGTCAGTGGGGTCAGTGGAGATCAATGGGTGTCAATGGGGTCAATGGAGATCAATGGGTGTCAATGGGATCAGTGGGCATCAATGGGTGTCAATGGGGTCAATAGAGATCAATGGGTGTCAATGGGGGCAATGGAGATCAATGGGTGTCAATGGGGTCAGTGGAGATCAATGGGTGTCAATGGGGATCAATGGGGGCAACAGAGATGAATGGGTGTCAATGGGGGCAATGGAGATCAATGGGTGTCAATGCGGTCAATGGAGATCAATGGGTGTCAATGGGGATCAATGGGGGCAACAGAGATGAATGGGTGTCAATGGGTGTCAGTGGGTAGCAATAGGTGTAAATGGGTGGCAACAGAGATCAATGGGTGTCAATGGTGTCAATGGGGGTCAATGGGGGCAATGGAGATCAGTGGGTGTCAATGGGGTCAATGGAGATCAATGGGTGTCAATGGGTGGCAACGGAGATCAATGGGTGTCAATGGGGGCAATGGAGATCAATGGGTGTCAATGGGGTCAATGGAGATCAATGGGTGTCAATGGGGGTCAATGGGCATCAATGGGTGTCAATGGGGGCAATGGAGATCAATGGGTGTCAATGGGGGTCAATGGGCATCAATGGGTGTCAATGGGGGCAATGGAGATCAATGGGTGTCAATGGGTAGCAATAGGTGTCAGTGGGTGTCAACAGAGATCAATGGGTGTCAATGGGGGCTATGGAGGTCAATGGGTGTCAATGCGGTCAATGGAGATCAATGGGGGTCAATGGGCATCAATGGGTGTCAATGGGGGCAATGGAGATCAATGGGTGTCAATGGGGGCAATGGAGATCAATGGGTGTCAAAGGGGGGCAATGGAAATCAATGGGCATCAATGGGTGTCAGTGGGGTCAATGAAGATCAATGGGTGTCAATGGGTGGCTACGGAGATCAATGGGTGTCAATGGGGATCAATGGGCATCCATGGGTGTCAGTGGTTGGCAACGGAGATCAGTGGGTGTCAATGGGGATCAATGGGCATCAATGGGAGTCAATGGGGATCAATGGGCATCAGTGGGTGTCAGTGGGGTCAATGAAGATCAATGGGTGTCAATGGGTGGCTACGGAGATCAATGGGTGTCAATGGGGTCAATGGAGATCAATGGGTGTCAATGGGGTCAGTGGAGATCAATGGGTGTCAATGGGGTCAATGGAGATCAGTGGGTGTCAGTGGGGTCAGTGGAGATCAATGGGTGTCAATGGGGTCAATGGAGATCAGTGGGTGTCATTGGGGATCAATGGGGGCAACGGAGATCAATGGGTGTCAGTGGGGTCAGTGGAGATCAATGGGTGTCAATGGGGTCAGTGGAGATCAATGGGTGTCAGTGGGGTCAGTGGAGATCAATGGGTGTCAATGGGGTCAATGGAGATCAATGGGTGTCAATGGGATCAGTGGGCATCAATGGGTGTCAATGGGGTCAATAGAGATCAATGGGTGTCAATGGGGGCAATGGAGATCAATGGGTGTCAATGGGGTCAGTGGAGATCAATGGGTGTCAATGGGGATCAATGGGGGCAACAGAGATGAATGGGTGTCAATGGGGGCAATGGAGATCAATGGGTGTCAATGCGGTCAATGGAGATCAATGGGTGTCAATGGGGATCAATGGGGGCAACAGAGATGAATGGGTGTCAATGGGGGCAATGGAGATCAATGGGTGTCAATGGGGGCAATGGAGATCAATGGGTGTCAATGGGGATCAATGGGGGCAATGGAGATCAATGGGTGTCAATGGGGTCAGTGGAGATCAATGGGTGTCAATGGGGTCAGTGGAGATCAATGGGTGTCAATGGGGTCAATGGAGATCAATGGGTGTCAGTGGGGACAGTGGAGATCAATGGGTGTCAATGGGGTCAGTGGAGATCAATGGGTGTCAATGGGGTCAGTGGAGATCAATGGGTGTCAATGGGGATCAGTGGGGGCAATGGAGATCAATGGGGCTCAATGGGTCTCTATGGGTCTCCATGGGTCTCAGTGGGTTCTGTGGGTCTCTATGGGTTCTATGGGTCTCAGTGGGTCTCTGTGGGTTCTATGGGTCTCCATTGGTCTCAATGGGTTCTATGGGTCTCAATTGCTTCTATGGGTCTCTGTGGGTCTCAGTGGATCTCTATGGGTCTCAATGGGTTCTATGGGTCTCTATGGGTCTCTATGGGTTTCTATGGATACCTATGGGTCTCAATGGGTTCTATGGGTCTCTATGGGTCTCAATGGGTTCTATGGGTCTCTATGGGTCCCTATGGGTCTCAATGGGTTCTGTTGGTCTCAATGGGTCTCCATGGGTCTCAATGGACCCCGCCGCCCCCCAGGTGTTCATCTGCGGCCCCTGTCCCCATTGGCTGCTGGTGACGAGCCGGGGGGCGCTGCGGTGTCCGGGGGGGGCAGTGGGGTCTATGGAGCTCAATGGGGTTCTGTGGAGCTCAATGGATGCTATGGGGCTCAATGGGTTCTATGGGGCTCAGTGGGCTTCTGTGGGGCTCAATGGATGCTATGGGGCTCAATGGGTTCTATGGGGCTCAGTGGGCTTCTATGGGGCTCAATGGGTTCTATGAGTCTTAGTGAGTGTCAGTGGGGTTCTATGGGTCTCAGTGGGGCTCAGTGGGTCTCAGTGGGGTTCTATGGGTCTCAGTGGGTGCTATGGAACTCAATGGGTTCTTTGGGTCTCAATGGGTCTCAGTGGGGTGCTATGGGTCTCAATGGGTTCTGTGGGTCTCAATGGGTTTCTATGGGTCTCCATGGGTCTCCATGGGTCTCAATGGGGCTCAGTGGGTCTCTATGAGTCTCCATGGGTCTCAGTGGGTTCTATGGGTCTCAATGGGTCTCTGTGGGTTCTATGGGTCCCCATGGGTCTCAATGGGTTCTGTGGGTCTCAATGGGTCTCAGTGGGTCTCTATGGGTCTCCATGGGTCTCCATGGGTCTCAGTGGGGCTCAGTGGGTCTCTATGAGTCTCCATGGGTCTCAGTGGGTTCTATGGGTCTCAGTGGGTCTCTGTGGGTTCTATGGGTCCCCATGGGTCCCAATGGGTTCTATGGGTCTCAATTGCTTCTGTGGGTCTCTGTGGGTCTCAATGGGTCTCAATGGATCTCTGTGTGTCTCAATGGGTCTCTATGGGTCTCTATGGGTCTCTATGGGTCTCAATGGATTCTATGGGTCTCTGTGGGTCTCTGTGGGTTCTATGGGTCCTCATGGGTCTCAATGGGTTCTATGTGTCTCAATTGCTTCTATGGGTCTCTGTGGGTCTCAATGGGTCTCAATGGGTTCTATGGGTCCCTATGGGTCTCTATGGGTCTCCATGGGTCTTAATGGGTCTCTATGGGTCTCAATGGGTTCTATGGGTCTCTATGGGTCTCAATGGGTTCAATGGGTCTCTATGGGTCTCTATGGGTCTCCATGGGTCTCAATGGGTTCTATGGGTCTCAATGGGTTCTATTGGTCTCTATGGGTCTCTATGGGTCTCCATGGGTCTCAATGGGTTCTATGGGTCTCAATGGGTTCTATGGGTCTCTATGGGTCTCTATGGGTCTCTATGGGTCTCAATGGGTTCTATGGGTCTCTATGGGTCTCAATGGGTTCTATGGGTCCCTATGGGTCTCAATGGGTTCTATGGGTCCCTATGGGTATCCATGGGTTTCAATGGGTTCTATGGGTCCCTATGGGTCTCTATGGGTCCCTATGGGTGTCTATGGGTCCCTATGGGTCTCCATGGGTCTCTATGGATCCCTATGGGTCTCTATGGGTCCCTATTGGTCTCAATGGGTCTCCATGGGTCTCAATGCACCGCTCCGCCCCCCAGGTGTTCATCTGCGGGCCGTGCCCCCATTGGCTGCTGGTGACGAGCCGGGGGGCGCTGCGCCTGCACCCCATGACCATCGATGGCGCCGTCGAGTCCTTCGCCCCCTTCCACAACGTCAACTGCCCCAAGGGCTTCCTCTACTTCAACCGGCAGGTATGGGGCAGGGGGGGTCTATGGGGCAGGGGGGGTCTATGGGGCAGGGGGGGTCTATGGGGTTGTGGGGTCTATGGGGCAGGGGGGGTCTATGGGGCAGGGGGGGGTCTATGGGGCAGGGGGGGTCTATGGGGCTGGGGGGGGTCTATGGGGCTGGGGGGTCTATGGGGCAGGGGGGGGTTCTATGGGGCAGGGGGGGGTCTATGGGGCGGCGGGGGTCTATGGGGCAGGGGGGGGTCTATGGGGGGAGGGGTCTATGGGGCGGGGGGGGTCTGTGGGGCTGGGGGGGAAGGGGGGGTCTATGGGGCGGGTGGGGGCATGGGGGGAGGGGTCTATGGGGCGGGGGGGATCTATGGGGCAGGGGGGTGGGCAGGGGGGGTCTATGGGGCGGGGGGGTCTATGGGGCAGGGGGGGTCCATGGGGCAGGGATGGACCCCATTGATATGGGGGGGGGTCCATGGGGCAGGGAGGTCTATGGGGCGGGGGGGGTGTATGGGGCTTTGGGGTGGGTCTATGGGGCAGTGTGGGGTCTATGGGGCAGTGGGGGGGGGTCTATGGGGCAGGGGGGGTCTATGGGGCGGGGGGGGTCTATGGGGCGGGGGGGGTCTATGGGGCAGGGGGGATCTATGGGGCAGGGGGGGTCTATGGGGGCTGCGCGGGGACGAAGGGGGGAGGGGTCTATGGGGCGGGGGGGGTCTATGGGGCAGGGGGGTCTATGGGGCGGGGGGGTCTATGGGGCAGGGGGGCGTCTATGGGGCTGGGGGGGGAATGGGGGGGTCTATGGGGCTGGGTGGGGCATGGGGGGGTCTATGGGGCTGGGGGGGGCCATGAGGGGGAGGGGTGTATGGGGCGGGGGTGTGTATGGGGCAGGGGGGGTCTATGGGGCTGGGGGGTCTATGGGGCGGGGGGGGTCTATGGGGTTGGGGGGGTCTATGGGGCAGGGGGGGTCTATGGGGCGGGGGGGGTCTATGGGGCAGGGGGGGGTCTATGGGGCAGGGGGGGTCTATGGGGCGGGGGGGGTCTATGGGGCAGGGGTGGTCTATGGGGCAGGGGGGGTCTATGGGGCTGGGGGGGGTCTATGGGGCTGGGGGGTCTATGGGGCGGGGGGGTCTATGGGGCGGCGGGGGTCTATGGGGCAGGGGGGGTCTATGGGGTTGTGGGGGCTATGGGGCAGGGGGAGTCTATGGGGCAGGGGGGGTCTATGGGGCGGGGGGGGTCTATGGGGCGGGGGGGGTCTATGGGGCAGGAGGGGGGTCTGTGGGGCGGGGGGGTCTATGGGGCGGGGGGGGTCTATGGGGCGGGGGGGTCTATGGGGCAGGGGGGTCTATGGGGCTGGGGGTGTCTATGGGGTGGGGGTGTCTATGGGGTGGGGGGGAATGGGGGGGTCTATGGGGCTGGTGGGGGCATGGGGGGAGGGGTCTATGGGGCGGGGGGGATCTATGGGGCAGGGGGGAATCTATGGGGCAGGGGGGGTCTATGGGGCAGGGGGGTCTATAGGGCTGGGTGGGTGTATGGGGAGGGGGGGTCTATGGGGCAGGGGGGTCTATGGGGCGGGGGGGATCTATGGGGCGGGGGGGTCTATGGGGCTGGGGGGATCTATGGGGCGGGGGGGATCTATGGGGCAGGGAGGATCTATGGGGCGGGGGGGTGTATGGGGAGGGGGAGTCATGGGGCTGGGGGGATCTATGGGGCGGGGGGGGTCTATGGGGCTGGGGGGGTGCATGGGGCTAAGGGGGAGCTATTGGGGGGGGTCTATGGGGGTCCCATGGGGTCCTGGAAGGGTCTTGGGGGGGATCCATGGGGCTGGGGGATGGCCATGGGGGGCGGTCTATAGGGCTGGGGGGGGGGGGCTATTTTGGGGTCTATAGGGGTCCCATGGGGTCCTGGAAGGGTCTTGGGATCTATGGGGCTGGGGGGGGATCCATGGGGGGCATCCATGGGGGGGATCTATGGGGTCTGGGGGGGATCCATGGAGGGTATCCATGGGGTCTGGGGGGATCCATGGGGGGGATCTATGGGGCTGGGGGGCATCCATGGGGGGATCTATGGGGCTGGGGGGGGATCCATGGGGGGGATCTATGGGGTCTGGGGGGGGCCCATGGGGTTTAGGGGGTTTTGGGGGTGTCCATGGGGGTCCTGGAGGGGTCTGAGGGTGCTGGGAGATTCCTGGGGGGGTCCAGGGGCTGGGTTTGGGTGCATTGGGTGCTGTCTGTGTCCATTGGGTGCTGGGTGGGTGCCATGGGTGCCCATGGGGTGCTGTGTGGGTGTCCATTGGGTGCTGTGTGGGTGCTCCCTGTGTCTATTGGGTGCTGTGTGGGTGCAATGGGTGCTGTGTGGGTGCCATGGGCCCCCATTGGGTGCTGTGTGGGTGCCCATTGGGTGCTGTGTGGGTGCCATGGGTGCCCATTGGGTGCTGTGTGGGTGCCCATTGGGTGCTGTGGGTGCCATGGGTGCTGTGTGGGTGCTGTGTGGGTGCCCATTGGGTGCTGTGTGGGCGCCCATTGGGTGCTGTGTGGGCGTCCATTGGGTGCTGTGTGGGTGCCCATTGGGTGCTGTGTGGGTGCTGTGTGGGCGTCCATTGGGTGCTGTGTGGGTGCCATGGGTGCTGTGTGGGTGCTGTGTGGGCGTCCATTGGGTGCTGTGTGGGTGCCATGGGTGCTGTGTGGGCGTCCATTGGGTGCTGTGTGGGTGCCCATTGGGTGCTGTGTGGGTGCCATGGGTGCCCATTGGGTGCTGTGGGCGCCCATTGGGTGCTGTGTGGGTGCCATGGGTGCCCATTGGGTGCTGTGGGTGCCATGGGTGCTGTGTGGGTGCTGTGTGGGTGCCCATTGTGTGCTGTGTGGGTGCCATGGGTGCCTATTGGGTGCTGTGTGGGTGCCCATTGGGTGCTGTGTGGGTGCCATGGGTGCTGTGTGGGTGCCCATTGGGTGCTGTGTGGGTGCCATGGGTGCTGTGTGGGTGCCCATTGGGTGCTGTGTGGGTGCCCATTGGGTGCTGGGTGGGTGCCATGGGTGCTGGGTGGGTGCCCATTGGGTGCTGTGTGGGTGCCCATTGGGTGCTGTGTGGGTGCCATGGGTGCTGGGTGGGTGCCCATTGGGTGCTGGGTGGGTGCCATGGGTGCTGGGTGGGTGCCCATTGGGTGCTGTGTGGGTGCCATGGGTGCCCATTGGGTGCTGTGGGCGCCCATTGGGTGCTGTGTGGGTGCCATGGGTGCTGTGTGGGTGCCATGGGTGCTGTGTGGGTGCCCATTGGGTGCCCATTGGGTGCTGTGTGGGTGCCATGGGTGCTGTGTGGGTGCCCATTGGGTGCTGTGTGGGTGCCCATTGGGTGCTGTGGGTGCCATGGGTGCTGTGTGGGTGCTGTGTGGGTGCCCATTGGGTGCTGTGTGGGTGCCATGGGTGCTGTGTGGGTGCTGTGTGGTTGCCCATTGGGTGCTGTGTGGGTGCCATGGGTGCCTATTGGGTGCTGTGTGGGTGCCCATTGGGTGCTGTGTGGGTGCCCATTGGGTGCTGTGTGGGTGCCGTGTGGGTGCTGTGTGGGTGCCCATTGGGTGCTGTGTGGGTGCTGTGTGGGTGCCCATTGGGTGCCATGGGCGCCCATTGGGTGCTGTGTGGGTGCTGTGTGGGTGCCATGGGTGCCATGGGTGCTGTGGGTGCCCATTGGGTGCTGTGGGTGCTGTGTGGGTGCCCATTGGGTTCTATGGGTGCTGTGGGTGCCCATTGGGTGCCCATTGGGTTCTATGGGTGCTGTGTGGGTGCCCATTGGGTTCTGTGGGTGCTGTGGGTGCCCATTGGGTGCTCATTGGGTGCCATGGGTGCTGTGGGTGCCCATTGGGTGCCATGGGTGCTGTGGGTGCCCATTGGGTGCCCATTGGGTTCTATGGGTGCTGTGTGGGTGCCCATTGGGTGCTGTGGGTGCTGTGTGGGTGCCATGGGTACCCATTGGGTGCTGTGGGTGCCCATTGGGTGCTGTGGGTGCTGTGTGGGTGCCATGGGTGCCCATTGGGTGCTGTGGGTGCAGGGCGAGCTCCGCATCAGCGTCCTCCCCGCGTGCCTCTCGTACGACGCGCCCTGGCCCGTGCGCAAGATCCCCCTGCGCTGCACCGCGCACTACGTGGCCTATCACGTGGAGTCCAAGGTGGGGCCTCGTCTTCAGCCTCATCATCATCATCATCATCCTCCTCATCCTCATCTTCATCTTCATCATCTTCATTGTCATCTTCATCCTCATCATCCTCCTCATCCTCATCATCATCATCCTCATCATCATCCTCATCTTCATCTTCATCCTCATCCATCTTCCTCATCCTCATCCTCATCTTCATCCTCTTCATCCTCTTCATCCTCTTCATCTTCATCCTCATCTTCATCCTCATCTTCATCTTCATCATCCTCATCCTCATCTTCATCTTTATCATCATCTTCAGCCTCTTCATCCTCATCCTCATCTTCATCATCTTCATCATCATCTTCATCCTCATCATCCTCCTCATCTTCATCCTCATCCTCATCTTCATCTTCATCATCATCCTCCATCCTCATCATCATCCTCCTCATCCTCCATCCTCATCCATCATCCTCATCATCCTCATCCTCATCATCATCCTCATCTTCATCCTCTTCATCCTCTTCATCCTTATCCTCATCATCATCTTCATCATCGTCCTCCATCCTCATCTTCATCCTCATCTTCATCCTTCATCCTCATCCTCATCTTCCTCATCATCATCCTCATCTTCATCCTCATCCTCATCTTCATCTTCATCATCATCCTCCATCCTCATCATCATCCTCCTCATCCTCATCCTTCATCCTCATCATCCTCATCCTCATCATCATCCTCATCTTCATCCTCTTCATCCTCTTCATCCTCATCATCATCTTCATCATCGTCCTCCATCCTCATCTTCATCCTCATCATCTTCATCCTCATCCTCATCATCATCATCCTCATCTTCACCCCCCTTAGCTTCATCATCTTCATCCTCATCTTCATCTTCATCCTCATCTTCATCATCATCCTCCATCCTCATCATCATCCTCCTCATCCTCCATCCTCATCCTCATCTTCATCCTCATCTTCATCTTCATCATCATCATCCTCATCTTCATCCTCATCTTCATCTTCATCCTCCTCATCTTCATCCTCATCTTCATCCTCATCTTCACCCCCCTTAGCTTCATCATCTTCATCCTCATCTTCATCTTCATCCTCATCTTCATCATCATCCTCCATCCTCATCCTCATCTTCATCTTCATTCTCATCTTCATCATCGTCCTCCATCCTCATCTTCATCCTCATCTTCATCTTCATCATACTCCTCATCTTCAACTTCATCTTCATCCTCATCTTCATTCTCATCTTCATCATCATCATCTTCATCATCATCCTCCATCCTCATCTTCATCTTCATCATCCTCATCCTCCATCCTCATCCTCATCTTCCTTGTCTTCATCCTCATCCTCATCATCCTCATCCTCTTCATCATCTTCATCATCATCTTCATCGTCATCTTCATCCTCATCTTCATCTTCATCATCCTCATCTTCATCCTCATCTTCATCCTCATCTTCATCGTCATCATCCTCCTCTTCTTCATCCTTCATCATCATCCTCATCTTCATCCTCATCCTCATCTTCATCCTCATCTTCATCGTCATATTCATCCTCATCATCCTCCTCATCTTCATCTTCATCCTCATCTTCATCGTCATCATCATCAGCCTCATCCTCATCTTCATCCTCATCTTCATTCTCATCTTCATCTTCCTCATCATCTTCATCATCTTCATCCTCATCATCTTCATCATCCTCATCCTCATCTTCATCCTCATCTTCACCCCCCTTAGCTTCATCATCTTCATCCTCATCTTCCTCATCGTCATCCTCATCTTCATCTTCATCCTCATCTTCATCCTTCATCCTCATCCTCTTCATCATCTTCATCATCATCATCATCATCCTCATCTTAATCATTGTCTTCATCTTCATCCTCATCCTCCATGCTCATCCTCATCTTCATCATCTTCATCATCATCATCCTCTTCCTCATCTTCATCCTCATCTTCACCCCCCCTTAGCTTCATCATCTTCATCCTCATCCTCCATCCTCATCCTCTTCAGCATCCTTCATCCTCATCCTCATCTTCATCCTCATCTTAATCCTCATCCTCATCTTCATCCTCATCCTAATCATCGTCTTCATCCTCATCTTCATCCTCGTCTTCATCCTCATCATCTTCATCATCCTCATCTTTATCCTCATCTTCATCATCATCTTCATCATCATCCTCCATCCTCATCCTTTTCGTCACCTTCATCTTCATCCTCATCTTCATCCTCCATCCCCATTCTCATCTTCATCCTCATCCTCATCTTCATCCTCACCATCAGCTCCTTCATCCCCTCCTCATCCTCTCCATCTCCATCCCCTTCATTGTCTTCTCCTCCACCATCTCCTCCTCCTCTTTCTTCATCCTCTCCTCCTCTTCCTCTCCATCTCCTTCATCCCCTCCTCATCCACCTCTTCCTCCTCCATCTCCTTCTCCTCTTTCTTCATCCTCTCCTCATCCTCCTCATCCTCTCCATCTCCTTCATTGCCTTCATCTCCTCCTCCTCCATCTCTTCATCTCCTCCTCCTCCTTCTTCATCCTCATCCTCCTCATCCTCAGCTCCTTCATCCCCTCCTCATCCTCTCCATCTCCTTCATTGCCTTCATCTCCTCCTCCTCCTTCTTCATCCTCATCCTCCTCATCCTCAGCTCCTTCAGCTCCTTCATCCCCTCCTCCTCCACCTCTTCCTCCTCCATCTCCTCCTCCTCTTTCTTCATCCTCATCCTCCTCATCCTCAGCTCCCCTCTCTCCCCCCATCCCCTTTCTGCCCCCCCCATCTTGTCCATGGGCCCCCCCCAGTGCCGCACACCTGCCCCCCCCAACCCCCTCACCCCCCATCCCCTCTGTGCCCCCCCATCCCCTCTGTGACCCCCCCCATCCCCAGTGCCCCCCCATCCCCTCTGTGACCCCCCCCATCCCCAGTGCCCCCCCATCCCCTCCATCCCCTCCAACCCCATCTCCTCTGTGCCCCCCCACTGCAGTTCCCCCCCAATCCCCCCAGCCCCAGTGGCCCCCAATTCCCATTACCCCCCCATCCCCTCCATGCCCCCCCAGTGCCCCCCCCAGTTCCCCCCACCCCCATCCCCTGACCCCCCCCACCCCCTCCATCCCCCCATCCCCTCCATGCCCCCCCCCCCAGTGCCCCCCCACTGCAGTTCCCCCCCAATCCCCCCATCCCCATTGCCCCCCATCCCCTCCATGCCCCTCCAGTGCCCCCCCCCAGTTCCCCCTCACCCCCCAATCCCCCCCATCCCCTGACCCCCCCCACCCCCTCCATCCCCCCCATCCCCTCCATGCCCCCCCCAGTGCCCCCCCACCCCCCCAATGCCCCCCATCCCCTGACCCCCCCCACCCCCTCCATCCCCCCATCCCCTCCATGCCCCCCCCAGTTCCCCCCACCCCCCATCCCCTGACCCCCCCCACCCCCTCCATCCCCCCATCCTCTCCATGCCCCCCCCCACCCCCCCATTGCCCCCCCCTCACCTCTGCCCCTTTGCCCCCCCCCAGGTGTACGCGGTGGCCACGAGCGTCATCAACCCCTGCACCCGCATCCCGCGCATGACGGGGGAGGAGAAGGAGTTCGAGAGCATCGAGCGTGGTGGGGACCCCCCCTTGGACCCCCCCCTTTGGGACCCCCCCCCCTTTGGGATCCCCCCTTGGACCCCCCCTTTGGGACCCCCCCCCAGGACCCCCCTTTGGACCCCCCCCAGACCCCCCCTTTGGAACCCCCCCTTGTGCCCCCCTTTGGACCCCCCCTTTGGGACCCCCCCTTGGACCCCCCTTTGGACCCCCGCTTTGGGACCCCCCCCCCCTTTGGGACCCCCCACTTTGGGACCTCCCCATTGGGCTTTGGGACGCCCCCTTGTGCCCCCCCCTTGGGACTCCCCCCTTGGACCCCCCCCCTTTGGAACCCCCCTTTTGACCCCCCCTTTGGGACCCTCCCTTTGGGACCCCCCCTTGGACCCC